GGGATGAACCATTGTCATGGGACCCAGCGACAATTGGATCAGAGACACCGATGACAAAACGGTGTCCTGGGAAGAGTACGGTCTCACTCCCAGGGAACACGGCTGGAGCTTTAAGTCCCTCCCTGCTCGGTGGGCTTCCCCACGAAAGGTTTTAAAAAGCGAGAAGGACATGATAGTAGTATCTGAAGCGGTGTCCAATAATGCTTCATGTGTTAGCACCTCTTCTAGAGCCCTGCACGGGCCTAAAATATGAGCCCGTGTCCGGCCTGGCCTGAGGGGGGTGGAGCCCCAGCCCGACCCGGTCCGAAAAGGTTTTCATGATTCTCTGGCCCGCCCCAAGCCAGAGCCCGACTTTTTTTAACCAACTAAATGAAAACAAAGTGCGTCAATCCTGACCAATGTGTTAAAAAACGTGCAGGATCCGATCAATTTGTTTTTCCCTCGTTTACCGTCACGGAGATGACGGCGCACTGGCTCTGGTGGTAATCAAGTTAAATTAAATCTCTTTCCAACAATTTTCACAAGAAAACAAAACAGTCAAAAGCAGGGCTTGTGTTGACCGGATAGTTCCCGTATTTGACGGTTTATTTTGACGGAGAAAGAATAGAAAGAATTACCCCGACGCATGCAGACGAACTGACATTTTATTCGTTACACACATCGCAGATGTAGCTAAATCACCCAAGAAAAGATTCCCATCTGAACATCTGAGCTGCTCAGCGCAGCTCGCTGTCAGCGCATATGTGCACAGCGAGCTGAAGTTGTGGAGATTGGCTTGGAGCGCGTTGCAGAACCAGAGCGCATGCGGGAAGATTCCTCCCACTGAAGCGAGTGTTTTCCAAACCCTGTCTCTCACAGAGACTTGTCACTTAGAAAATGTTTCCTGATTATGAAACTTTGGCTGAATAGTGCTTGTTCCTGTCTCCAATGTGGCGACACATCCAGGAGCCTGTCTGAGGAGAATCCCAGAATCTCTTCAGCTCAGAAAGCGCCTATGATTACGCACAAGCGTGACCCGTCAACCCGGTCTCACAGTAAGACCGGGTTGGGCCTGTTCAGGTTTACGCAGACAATCTTTACATAGAATTGACTTACAGATATAAAATTAATTCAGTAAAATATAAAGCATTTTATTTAAATATCCATTTATTATTTTACCAGCACAGAGAGCCGCATCAGATGGATGGAAGAGCCGTGGGTTGTGACAAGTTTTCTCCAGGACCAGAGAGGACGCAAACTCAATACATCTCTTTTATTGTGAGGTAATGATTTCTCTGAGTTTTGCGGTTGCGGGCGGGAGTAGACATGCACGCTACGGGTGCGGGCGGGAGTGTAACACACACGTTGCAGTTGCAGGTGGTAATGGCCAGAAATTCAGCGGGAGCGGGATGAAGAAAACAGTCCCGCGCAGGGCTCTACTGCTGTGTTTGTGTTTCAATTTTTTAAATGAATTTGATTAAAAATAAAGGCGCCCGGCCCGTGTCCAAGGTAATTACACAGTTGTTGGCCCAAAGCCCGGCCCGAGGGCTGTGCCGACTCGAGGGCCTAGGGCTTCAGTGCAGGGCTCTAGAGGCATGTAGGACTTCTTAGTGCCTCCTTTCTCTCTGAGGAAGCAGATAAACTGTTGCACCGGGGGCTCAATGTGGACCACTTCCCCCACCTTCTCGGGTGTTTTGTGATCTGACTCCAACTGCAACACCAAGATGGTATTGGAGGTGTTCTCATCGGAGGGGTCTGAAAGGAGGCTTGGTGCTACTGAGATAGGGCTTTCCCTTACTAGGTTAGGCGCCATTTCCTCACCCAGCTGCATGAGAGGAGTTACCTCCTCCACCATTGTCGTTGGGGAAGGTTCTGTGGTTGAGTCCACACCCTTGTTCGGAGAGGCAGGAGCTTCTTGCAAGATTAGATCGGGTGCAGGGGCTGAGATAGAGAGCACATCTGCCTTCTTTTTGCCTTTCCTTTTAATCGCATCAAGAATTCTCTGGATGATTTCCAAATCACTTGGTTTAATGTCCAGGGTTTCATCTGTTTCTTGGTTGGTATCCCTGTTCTTAGGGTTCTCCCGAGGGGAAGAGGACTGGCGGTTAGTTGGGGACACCCTGGCTGGTAGGATTGCTCCTGATAAGGATGTCTGTTCTGAAAGCGATAATCTGACACACTTCTCGGACCCTGGTTGTATCTCCGACTCTGAGGAGGTGACCACCTACCTCGATGTGACTGTTCCTGGTGTCTTTTTTCCAGAAAATAGTGCTGAGGCTCTTCCCTTGTTTCTGCATGTCGTGGTTGGCCTCTACTCTGTGGAGGGTGGTAAGGCTCATCCCAGGTTTGGCTGGGAGGGGATGTCCAAGATGGCGTCGAGTCAGCGTCTGGTGCATGGGGACCGTATGCTCCTTCAAGATGCATTGGGGGGCTCTTGGTCCACAACGCTACCTGTCTTGGTCGGCCTAGTTTTGGTTTGCTGGTACTTCTGAAAGGCCCAGCATGTCCATTCTCTTAGGTTTTGAATGGGTGCTCTCTGTGGGTTAGCGAACACTCCCAAATGATGGCTGGTGGTTGGATGCAGATTATGGAGAAAGGGGGTTTTAAAGTGGGGGTCTTCCTCCATGTCCTGATCATTTCTTGAGCCAAAGAAAGCATCTAAGAGTTGATAATAATATTCTTGGGGATGCTCATTCTTAGCCTGTTTGACATTTAGAGCTAAGGACAATTTCGTTTGGGAGACAAAACCGGAGAACTCTCTGGTTATTACCTGGGACAAACGCTAGTAATCTCTTTTGATGACCTGAGGCTGTCGTTCAATGAATCTACTTACCTCCCGACTCGAGTTCATCTTTATGAGGTAGATTTTGTCATCTACAGTTGCGTATGGGTATTTTCTCAAACAAAACTGGATGTCCTTCAAGTAAGATTCTACATGACAAGGAACTACTGGGCTAGGTTCAAATTGGGTAATGCTTCTTGCCATTCAATCTAAATCTTTATCTGTGGGTCTGTCTATGTTTAGGTGCTCACGTGACCTGACGTTTAAGAAAGGAGGTAATCCTCGTGGTGGAGGATATGTTGAAGTGCCTGTTAATTCTTCCCTTACCCTAGCAGGATCACCCTCTTCCTTCTGTCGTGCAGCAGTACCTCCGGTTGGAGCTGGGAAATCTGCAAAAAGTTTGTCTTCGGGTGAGATAAACTGAGATATGGGATATTGGAACCTTTCATTTAAGCGATTTTGTTCCTCTGATTCACGAAGCTGGGATTGTAAATCCTGAATTGTATTGTGTTGCGCCTCTAGCGTTTTTACATGGGTTTCATTTCAAGCCTGGGTGGCCTGCGTCTCTGTCACAAGTTCGGTCATAAGTGATTAATTTCTCTCTTTTTCTTTACAAACGTCATAAAGTTGAGTAGAGGTTTTGGCTAAATCACTCGTGGCAATTTTAAGCTCTTCCTGAACCTCTGCAAGGTGTCGTTTGTACAGAGCTGTCTCCTCACGGAGTTGATCCATCTTTTGAGTTTTTTTTGTTAATTGTTCCGAAGCCTGACCGATTCGCTTATGGGCTAATTGAAATCTTCTAGAGAGCACGGCAGCTAAGCTGCTGATGGTTTTCACAGCTGATTTGTCCCCAGCTGTCTGATTCATCCCTGTGTTGATTACATCCGTAATTGCACCTTGCAATTTCTCGGAGTCCATTTGCTGGACTTCATCGAAATATTCTGGAATGTGGTTCTGTGTCAGATCCCAAAGGACTGCATCGAGCTCCTCGAAAGAACCGGACTCCACGACCTCAGATTTTCCTGCCATGTTTACCAGTTTGGTTGAAAGTCAAAAAACTTCCCTTCCTTTTCCTGTGGTTAGAATTAATGGCAAACTTAAAATTATTCACCACTTCTAATAGTTAGGCCAAAGGTTTGAGTTTATTTACACGTGGTTAGAATTTTTATAGAGAGGGAAAGGAAAAAAATGGAAAAAATTATTTTCTGTCTAAAATTGCCCTTCCTAACTTAAAGATTAACTGATTTTAAACAGAGAGAGAGAGCAAAAGAAGATTAATATGAGAGAGTTATTTATCTTACATGCACATCTAAAATTAACGAACAAGTGCTTATTATTGAGACTTATTTCTTCACAAATGAAACCCAGCACATTTTCACACATGCAGTGCTCATGTTCAACCACCAGAATGCAGCCAGACCCCTACTGGGTTTCAGAGGGGAGGGGTTTCTACCGCACCCCCCCCCCCCCCCCCCCCCCCCAGGGTCCTGGGCAACACAGGCCCTCACATGCCAGAATCAATCTGGACACAGAAGTAAGCACTTAGGCGCCAAGCTTAGGAGATGCACAGCTGTTTCTTTGCTGCACAGATTGGCAGTTACTCTAGGTTAATTATTCTTAGTTTTGTCTCTTCTCAAAACCATTGCTTTGTTCGTCCACATAAGCAGAAATAAGCAGGGCCAGAATTCCCGTCGGTCCCACTGCTTTTAAAACACAGTCAAAATGCTGGAATTAGCATCAGCTGAATTTTATTTTTTTCAACTTTAATAGCTCTGCGCAAAAAGAAAAAATGTCACGGAAGTTAACGTATCAAGTTACAGCTTCCATTTTCTCACAATAAAAGCCTTCTCTAAACATGCAGCATTAGAGACGAAACTAATTTCTCAACATTGTAGTCACAGTTCTAACTTGAAACAAGCTATTATTCTAGCGAACCTCGCGTCACAATGTCAAATCTGCCTCACACGGGGCACCAAATATGTAGCGATAAATATGAATTTAAATCTATATTTATCAAATGTGGTGGGGACTTAGCTTGTCTTCGTCATTTATAATTTTATATTAAATAACTTTGAGCACCACCCAGTTTTGTCTGTGTGAACTGGGACACTGGATTTAATATTTATCTTCTTCTCAACGTAATCAGTCATCAAAGTTAACACCACATTTTAATCCAAAGGATGAATTCTTGACAGAATGCGCCGATTATTCCTGAGAATTGCTAGACAATGATCAGGCGTTATTTACGTTTTGTGACTTTATTACAAAATCAGTTAATACATTGACAAAAGGACCAAACACAGCTTATAGTTTCATACATGGAATTAAGAAAATTGTTAACCTAAAGCTTTATGGCAGTGATAGGAAATAACTGATCCGTAATGAAAGAGTAAATTTGGTGACACCAGGATTATAGAAAATATTAGGAATAACTTAACTAAGGAGAACAAGTGCACGTGTGTGTGTGTGTGTGTTCCTATGGGTATACAGTTGTGGTCAGAAGTTTACATACACTTGTAAAAAATATAATATAATGGCTCTACTGAGTGTCCCGATATTTCAAAAACTCTGATTTTTCTCTGATAGAGTGATTGGAATAAATACTTCTTTGTCACAAAAAACATTCATGAAGTTTGGTTCTTTAATGTCTTTATTATGGGTTAACAGAGAAAAGTGATCACATTTGCTGGGTCACAAATATACATACAGCAACATGAACTAGCAATTTTGGTGACTTAGAAACGTGTCAGTGAACTGAGCTTCATAGCATGGCCTCTTAACTTCTTGTGAGTGATTATGAGTGACTACAGCTGGTGACTTCCCTTAGGCCAGGTAAATAGGGCTCATTGGATACAAACGCCCACAAACGCTACAATGGGAAAGTCAAAGGAGCTCAGCATGGATCTGAAAAAGCAAATTATTGACTTGAACAAGTCAGGAAAGTCACTTGGGGCCATTTCAAAGCAGCTGCAGGTCCCAAGAGCAACAGTGCAAACAATTGTTTGTAAGTATAAGGTGCATGGCACTGTTTCATCACTGCCAAGATCAGGAAGAAAACGCAAGCTATCACCTGCTGCTGAGAGAAAATTGGTCAGGAGGGTAAAGAGTGAACCAAGAATCACCAAAAAGCAGATCTGCCAAGAATTAGAAGCTGCTGGAACACAGGTGTCATTGTCCACAGTCAAACGTGTTTGGCATCTCCATGGACTGAGAGGCTGCCGTGCAAGAAGGCAGCCCTTGCTCCAAAAGCGGCACCTTAAGGCTCGACTGAAGTTTGCTGCTGATCACATGGACAAAGATAAGACCTTCTGGAGGAAAGTTCTGTGGTCAGACGAAACGAAAATCGAGCTTTTTGGCCACAATGCCCAGCAATATGTTTGGAGGAGAAAAGGTGAGGCCTTTAACCCCAAGAACACCATGCCTACAGTCAAGCATGGTGGTGGGAATATTATGCGGTGGGGCTGTTTTGCTGCCAATGGAACTGGTGCTTTACAGAGAGTAAATGGGATAATGAAGAAGGAGGACTACCTTCACATTCTTCAACAAAACCTAAAATCATCAGCACGAAGGTTGGGTCTTGGGCGCAGTTGGGTGTTCCAACAGGACAATGACCCCAAACACACATCAAAAGTGGTAAAGGAATGGCTAAATCAGGCTAGAATAAGGGTTTTAGAATGGCCTTCCCAAAGTCCTGACTTAAACCCCATTGAAAACATGTGGACAGTGCTGAAGAAACAAGTCCATGTCATAAAGCCATCAAATTTAACTGAACTTCACCAATTCTGTCAAGAGGAGTGGTCAAAGATTCAACCAGAAGCTTGTGGATGGCTACCAAAAGCGCCTAATTGAAGTGAAAATGGCTAAGGGACATGTAACCAAATGTTAGCACTGCTGTATGTATATTTGTGACCCAGCAAATGTGATCACTTTTCTCTGTTAACCCATAATAAAGACATTAAAGAACCAAACTTCATGAATTTTTTTTGTGACAAAGAAGTATCTGTTCCAATCACTCTATCAGAGAAAAATCAGAGTTTTAGAAATAACGGGACACTCAGTAGAGCCATTATATTATATTTTTTACAAGTGTATATAAACTTCTGACCACAACTGTAGGAATACAGGAGTGTGTGTGTGTGAATAAGGATTCGTGTGCAGCAGAGAAAGAAGATAAATCTTGATAGATGAGAATTTGGATCGAAAATAACGAGCCATAAAAGTTTGTCTAAATTCACTCATTGGGCTTAGCAGGAAAAGTCAGCCAGATGAAAATGATTCACAGACCTTCTTCTGTCGCCAGGAGGGTGGCCAGTAGCTCCAACCGCCTTGGGTTCCTGGCTCATGGCCTTTTTGTATTAAATGTTACTGGCTCCCTGTTCGGTCAACGTTGGTCTTGAAAGGAGAGGATGTGGTAATCCTCGATAGTGGCTTGACTTTTTGGTTCCTTCACCTCTGCGGCCTCGAAACGTGGAATTCAGATCACGGGCCCAAATTATTCCAAAACGGAGCCGAATCATCAAACTGTGTTCCAAATAGCTTTTACTTTTAAGATGAAAACTTGACGAAAACGCAGACTTCCCGTAGGAAGTCAAAACAAAACAACGGAGTTGCTTCTAAGTTTTTACAGTAACTTTTGAGAGCTAATTACATTAAAGCGCTGGGTTCTGCTGGGCCAGCTGGAAAACAGCCCGCAGGGAATGAGCTTAAGGCGTCCTTTGTTCTTAAACTACTGCCACGAGGTTTGTATGAGTGCTTATATAACCTTTTGGGCACGCCCAAGCAGGTTAACTATGAAGTGATCAATGTAACCATGGTTTCTACAAAGGAGACATGCATGGAAACATACACTGCGATATAGCTGTCAGTTGTACACTGAATTTACTGTTGCAGTCACACCGCTAATGTTATGAACCACAGGCTCAGGTCAGTGAATCTTTCCATCTCTAGCGTGGACTCTCAAGTGTCTGTTTAAACTTTGCTTATGAGTAAATCGCTGTCCACAGAGTTCACAGGCAAACAGTTTCTGTCCTGTGTGGACCCTCATGTGAATGTTTAAACTAGTCTTTTGAGTAAAACTTTGTCCACAGAATTCACAGGCAAAAGGTTTCTGTCCTGTGTGGACTCTCATGTGTCTATTTAAAGTATGCTTATAAGTAAATCTTTGTTCACAGAGCCCACACACAAAAGGTTTCTGGCCTTTGTGGACTCTCATGTGATTGTTTAAATAAGCCTTTCGAGTAAACCTTTGTTTACAGAGTTCACAGGTGAAAGATTTCAGTCCTGTGTGGATGCTCATGTGTCTTTTTACATATCGCTGATCAGTAAATCTTTTTCCACAGAGTTCACAGGCGAAAGGTTTCTGTCCTGTGTGGACACTCATGTGAATGTTTAAACTTGTCTTTCGAATAAATCTTTGTCCACAAAGTTCACAGGCAAATGGTTTCTGTCCTGTGTGGACTCTCATGTGATAGTTTAATTTTGTCTTTTGAATAAATCTTTGTCCACAGAGTTCACAGGCAAATGGTTTCTGTCCTGTGTGGACTCTTATGTGATAGTTTAAACTTGCTTCTTGAGTAAATCTTTGTCCACAGAGCTCACAGGCAAAAGGTCTCTGTCCTGTGTGGACTCTCATGTGGCTATTTAAATGGGCCTTTTGGCTAACTCTATGTCCACAGAGTTCACAGGTAAAATGTTTCTGTCCTGTGTGTATGCTCATGTGGGTGTTTAAATGTACTTTTTGACTAAATCTTTGTTCACACAGTTCACAGGTAAAAGGTTTTTCTCCCGTGTGGACTCTCACATGTCTGTTTAAATGTGCTTTTAGGCTAAATCTTTTTCCACACAGTTCACAAATAAAAGGTTTCTGTCCTGTGTGGAGCCAAACATGTCTGTTTAGACTTGTTTTATTACTTAATATTTTTCCACAGTCATTACAACTAAATGTGGTTAGTTCTTTTTGGACTTCACAGCTTGAGTCTGCATGTTGCTCCACTCTAACATTGTTCTTCTTAACCAAACAGCCTGAAGACCTTATTGCTGAATGACCTTTCACCCTCACATGTTTCTGGAGAGACCACTTGTGAAGAAACTGTTTACCACACTCAGGGCAGCTAAAGGATTTGTTGACAGACTTAACACCTGACTCATTCCAGTCACCATCATTGTCCCCAGTTTTAGACCCAGAGTCTGATAGCTCAGAATCTGGATTCACAACATCATCATCATCATCATCATCTTTCTTCTCATCATCTCCACTAACTTCAGTCTCTGAAGAATCGAAAATCTGTTCATGAGGGTTCAGGTCTAGGTTCCTGCTAGTTTCTGCTCCTCCAACAGTCTCTGCTGTCATCTGGTCAGCTGAGCTGCTGGTTGGGATATTTCTGTCTTCTATTTGTTGCTGATGAAGCTGTGAGAACAGAGGTTTCTCTTCATCATCTTCACTCTTTACATAAACTACAGTGACTGGAAACCTGACATCATCAATCTCCTCCTTCAAATGAAGCTGCTCTCCCTCTAGACTGCTCCAGAGTTCCTCCTGTTCCTCCTTTATGTGAAGACTTTGTGGATACTGCTGGTCCACACCAGCGTTCTGTTCTTCAAGAGCTTCTTCTTTAACCAGAACCACCTGTTGAACCTCTGTAGGAAACACAGAAAAACATGGTGTGAATTGCTGACTGGCGTAACATCCAGAAAGGGTAAATTTTGACCCATATATTGACCTACATAGTGACCGGTCATCTACAGAAATAATTCCACTATCTAGGTGGTTTTTCTATTCTATCTTCTAACACACAGAAGATTCTGCAGTGCTTGTTGACGTTCCATGAAGACAAGATTATCAAACTAGGTCTCCAAACAAAGGCTGTCCTTTTATCTCAGACTGCTGGATTCCACAATCGGAATAAAAAGTGAACTTTTACAACTCACAAGTTAAATAATCATATGGTTGAATGAACCAGATGACATGGGAAATGTTTGAATAATCTGTGCCTAATTCAGTGAAGTTGAAATGAATATTGTCATTCAATGATCCATTTATGTCTTATGATCAGTACTGTTTGATTTCACAAGTTAACCATTATCTACACTCATACACAATGTTCATTAGATACAAATTAAGGTTAAGGTCATCTCACATAAAGTTTAAAGATTCTTTATCCACAAAACTAGAACAGCTTGTATGTGGAAGGTGTGGTTTTCTGAGAGGGTTTGGTAAAGCCTACAAACATGTCAAATTCTGATTGGCAGAAATCATAACAAGTGGATTATTAAAACTAGAGTGACTTCCCGAGTTATTCAGTTTAGGGCGGAACTCCGAAGTGGCCAATTCGGAACCAACCTCCTTGAGACATCTCTCTTTTGACACACCGTCAAAAATGGGACCCAATGCCTCTCTGCTTGACACTCAACATTAAGGGGTTGGATTGGGGGGTTAAATCACCAAATGGTTCTCGAGCACGCCTGTGCCTGCAGCTCACGGCTCCCCCAGGGGATGGGTCAAATGCGGAGAACAAATTTCGCACACACATCAGTGTGTGTGACAACTAATGGGACTTTAACCTGTTGGCACACCCCCAGCTGACACAGCCATACGGCTCCTTAAGAGCACATATGTCTTAGACGGAACGAACCTTCCTGCCTGTCGTGACCTGGAGACATCTCTAGACCGGACTGGTTGTACTGCGGTTATTCTACGAACTTCAATGCCTTGAGGTCCACCTAACTTCCTGACATTCCGGATCGGGGTTTGTAGACACAACAGATTGCGTCTGATGTTGTTTTATTAATAATCAACTCTCTAGTTTAGAGCAGACAACAAATTCTTTTACACCTAGATTTCACAATCTCTTTCAGATACAAAGGTTCTGATACACACCTACTTTATACCACACCACCCACAACTCACATTATATCACTGCATATACACTCGCATATCGTTACTCAAAGCTTGCCATGTATTATCATTAGTTTAGAAAAGAATAAAATTCCTTTTAACTATATACCTGACTCTGCCTGAATTAATACGAAGTGTGTTTATGGTCCCTGAACAAGCAAAGAATCCTAAACTCTTTTGGTTAAACATTTAAAGATCAATCAGACTGATATTTCATATTTATATGGAATCATCACATCTTATTGGTCATAATTGTTTGAATGCTGAAAAGCATTCAAACTATTGTTTTCCTGTTTCTCTTTATTCTTCCATATTCTGCTTCCGTACACTTTTTGAACCTCTTCTTCTCCTTCAAATTTTGAGCTATTTCAACAATTTTATATCAAAACGTTCAGCTCGTTAAGCTCTTTCGGGCTATTACTTTTGGCATTGATATCTTTCAAATTGTTCGAGTTATTAAGCTTTTACTGCAAAAAATTTCCCATTGAAATGAATGGGATTGGTCAATTTTCAGCAAATTCCTATCACTTTTTTGACCTCAAACTCTATAGGGTTCCTTTTAACTTAGAGACTTCATTCAAAGTTTAACAAACTCACAAGACTTTCCTGTTTAACATATTAAAGAGGCTTTTTGATATCTTTTACGGATTTTCTAAAATCGCAGGTAGAAGTTGAGGTACGACTTGAAATTTTCAGAAAAATTCACAAAAGTTATAATGGAGAAAGATAGGAGCAGTGACCCTCCCTTGCTCCATTCCCGGCGTTGTCCCGAGAGAACCGTAGGTCCGATTGAAATGAGACATGCGCTGCTTACAGCTAACGAATATACCTTCGTTTTGAGCTATAATTCATGACTGTACTCCAAACATTGTGGCCGTACGGTTCATTTGTTTGAGAAAATTCAAATTTAAAAACAGGTCTCTGCCCACTCTCACTTAAGAATTCCTCACTCTAAATTTTGAACCTCACATCTTCTGTAAACAACTCTTCACTGCGCCCACACCGTTTGGACTACCGAAACAAATTATACCTCAAAAAGTAGGACATTTTGTCAGCTTTTCAGAATGGGTTTCATTTTCTCTTTAAGTTTTACCGTTCTTTCGCTACAAGCCTCAGAAGGAGGAGAGACCCAGCTTTTCTCTCATTGAAACCCATGTTAAAGGATCAGAGATTTTCTCCTCAAAACGGCTTCAGACAGCTAAAAGTTTATCGTCATAGCTTCTAGACAATTCATGGTAGGCAAATAAAAGTCGGCACAGATGATCATCAAAGTCTTCTACCACTCACGCTTTTTGAATTTTTCAAATCGGTGCAGTACTTTTCGAATGGTGATGAGAAGTTTGACAGGTCCAATTTCACTTCTGAAGGACAGATTTCAAGGGTTCTCTCATTAACAGGAGCATAGGCGGAGATCCCAGGGGGGACGGGGGGGAAGCGCCCCCCCCCCCTCACACAAAGTTACCCCCCCCCCAAAGTTATTGTAAATGTATAAATGCTACCAGTAAACCTGTATTGTCTTCTAAAACCACAACGTAAAAGTTAGTCTGCAAATACAAAACAATGTGTTTTTAATTGTTGAGAAATTATAGTCCACCCCCCCCCACCCCCCCACACACACACACACAATTTCTCAAGTTGGTACGGTCAGTCCACACTCGCTGTTTCCAACGGGCGGGGCTGCTGGCTTTGCCTCGGTCACAGCTTCACAGCAGCCCGCAGGCTCACAGGAAGCGGGAATCAAAAAGCCAGCGGTTTCCAGCAGTAAGTCAATTATCTCACACTTGTTCTACAAACTTAAATATGTATGTCAAATGTGGCATAAATGATGCTGGAAGATGAGAGACACAGGACAGGAAAATAGTTCAATAAAAACAAGAAAACAAAACAAAGTGTTGAAAAGTAAAATGTAGGTAGATTTATCTCCACTACACACATGTAATATTTATACATTTGATACAATTCAGATCACCTTCAAAACTCAGTCACACACCCAGGGCCGTTTCAAGACATTTTGGGGGCCAAGGCAAAATCGTCTTCTGCCTAAAAGGAAATGTGCACCCACACGTATGGTACATCAATTCAACCTGCTTGGTCCCAGGAGTCTTGTATTAACTTGATATTGTGCTCTGCGTTTCATGGCAACGTGCTTAGCAACAACATTTAACAACATTTTAGACACAACTGTATCAACATACTTTAATATAGAAATGTTATTCAAAGTTTAAATGACTCATGTGTTATTGTACATAGCTTCATTAATGCAGACTTCTGTCATCTGTTACCATGGCAACACAAGGAACTACACACCACTTTAACCAACTCTCATAGGAATGAATATAAAAAGAAGAATATTGAGCCATTAACAGACTCCTGCTTTTGAATTGTTTGTACTTAAAACTAGAAATAGGTTCAATTTCATTGACCGTCAGAAGGTGGGAAAGTGCCCCGCTCCCTCCCAGCTCCCTTAATGGTTGAGAGAGGTCAATCATCTTCTGGCTAGATGGAATTACACACCCACGCATGTGAGACATCAAATTGATCGGCTTGGCCTAAGGAATCCATCCATCTACACATAAATCCATACATGCTTCTATCTATCCATCCATCCATCTATCCAATAAACCATCTAACATCCATCCGTTATTTCATTCGTCCTACTCTTCATCCATCCCATATCAAATCTGAACATATGTTCATCTATCAGTTTCAGATATCAGCAAATATTTCTAAATTCACAGTCCAGCCAATTGTAAAAATGTACCAGTTAAACTATTCTCATTCAAACGCCAACTGTTTAACGTTTCACATTTCGAGTTTTTGATAAATGTTCAAAGATTACAATTGTCTGCTGTTTAGCATTTTGATCCATTCTTCGACTATATTCTGAGCTACATTACGCTTGTTGGTGATTTTTGCTTCTACATCTTTAAATACATTCAGCTCATTTTGACAGTTCTGCCTTGTTTCAGCTTCAGCTCAGCTGTTTGGCGGCTTCAGCTTGCAGTTTCGGCTGTCCAGCATTCAAACAGCATTTGTGCAACAAATGCAATTTTTCTAGTTAAATATGCAGTTGTTACGCTATAAAGAGTGACGCTACACTGGTGTAACTTTATATTCACACAAAAAACTGTTCTATTATTGCTTTAGGTTGGTGAGATCAGGACTGACTCAGAAAACAAGACGTACTTGTAAGGTGAACACACGCACGCACGCACGCACACGCGCACACACACACACACACACACACACACACACACACACACACACACACACACACACACACACACACACACACACACACACACACACACACACACACACACACACACACACACACACACACACACACACACACACACACACACACAGCTCTCTCTTGAGGGAGACAAGATGGCGCCCATGAGTGGCTGTGCGTCTGCTAGGCTCCTGATCTGTTTTGGTTATTTGTTGTTTTTTATTGCTTGTTGTCTATCTGGTGCGGAGTCCCTGCTAACATATGATCGAGACTCACTGTTGTCAATCAGGTCCGCGATGATCAACCTCCAGAACTCCGATACCGGACCCGCTTTCCCACCGCCTCTGAAACCTGGCGTTAACCCAGGTCTCGGCCCTCTGTTACCTGTCGGCCTGCCGCTGCCCAGGAGGCCATGGAAGAGGAAACGTGGGAAGAGAGCCGGCTTCTTCGTTCAGCTTCGAAAGATCCTGAGAGGCGAAGCTCTTCCCGATCGCTGCTTCGCGGCTGTGTTGTGGCGGATCCAACAGAAACTTAAAGGAGTTGGGCTGATCTCGCTGCTAAATGGAGCCCCTGATGCGGGACGCTACCTGAAGGCGTGGGAGACAATGAACCACCGCGGGCGTAGCGTGGAGTCGCTACGTAGCTTAGCCCGCCAGCCACCCGCCATTATCGAGCCCGCGGCACACACACCGCCAGATTCCTCCGCGAAAATGATGTTGATTAACGCGCGCTCCATCGCCAACAATTCTCACATCCTCAACGATCTGTTCCGGACCAAAAAATTAAACTTTTTGTGGATTTCTGAGTCGTGGCAGCGGGAAAATGACGTCACTCATCTCCGTGAACTCTGTCCTCAAGACTGCTCTTTCTTCTCTGCTCCACGAACCACAAGCCGCGGTGGAGGAACAGCTGTTATCTTTAAGAAACACTTTTCGTGCCAAATTATATCCTCAAACTCCTACAGCTCATTCAAGATGATCATGATTAAAATTGGTCGAGTTCAACCAGTTTATGGAATTCTGGTCTATCGCCCACCTGGATCTACTTCATCCTTCCTGTCTGACTTTCAGGATCTCCTATCTTCAACTATTAAACTACACAGGATAATCATTGTTGGATATTTCAACATCCATGCTGAGGATCTATCTAACAGCTCTACCAGGGAGTTCTTAAACATGATGAATTCTTTTAACTTCACTCAACACGTGTCTGGTCCCACTCACAGAGCAGGCCACACCCTGGATCTGGTCTTTTCCTACGGACTTCTTGTTGATAAGCTGCAGATAAATGATGTTGTGTTCAGTGACCATAAGTCAGTTTCTTTTCATATTAACCTAAATTCTGAATCTCTTTTACCAGATTCTGCTAAGCAACGACGTATTATCAACAGTTCTACCATTTTAAATTTCTCCTCCCTCTTTGACTTTGTACCTCCCTCCTCTGATGACGTAGAGCTCCTTACCAACTCATTTAATTATCACTGCCTCAAAATTCTAGATCAGGTCGCCCCTTACAAAACCAGCTGCAGTTCCAGTGCCTCTAGTTCACCCTGGCTGAACAACCAGATTCTTGAACTTAGACGCTCCTATAGAAAAACGGAACGACTGTGGAAGAGTACAGGTCTGGTTGTTCATGGCGAATATTTTAAAGAACTTCTCGAGTCATACAACGAAGCTGTAGAAAATGCCAGGTCTTCTTTCTTCAGCAACCTCATATGTCAAAATAAGAATAATCCAAAGGTTCTGTTTGATACCATCTCCAGCATCGTGTCTTCTCCTCCGCAGCAGGCTCAGCTATCTTCAGCTGATGACTGTAACACCTTTCTCCACTTTTTTGAAAACAAGGTGCTGAATCTGAGATCCAGCATTCCACCAGCCCTCGCCCCCTCAGGAGGGGAGGCCCCTCAGTGCTCCGAGTCTTTCACCTCCTTCTCCCCAATTACACTAAATGACTTAACCTCAATAATCAGTCAGATGAAACTCTCATCATGCTCATCAGATATCTTAACTCCCTCTGTTTTAGTCGGTCCCTTGCCTCTATCAGTCCATCTCTGTTGACTATAATCAACAGCTCACTGAGCCAAGGCTGTGTTCCATCTTACTTTAAAAATGCAGTAGTGACTCCTCTCTTAAAGAAACCCAACCTTGACGCCAGCTCCGCCAGTAACTTAAAGCCGGGCGTACACTGTGCGACTTTTTCACTTTTTTGAGCCGATTTTCCAGTCGTGCGAGAATCCACGACATTGGGGCGAGTTTTGCGCTGAGCAGTCGTGTAGTGTTCAGGGGGTTACGAGAGGCGATTAACACCACGTGACCAGCTGCCGATCAGCAGTCGTGAGCTCGCACGGACTTCTGGAGTGTTTAATATTTCGCTCGTCCCTCGTGAGGGTATCGCACTGTTGAAGCGGCGCAGCGAGCAGCTGCGATCCAAAATGTATCAGAACCGCTCACGGCGCATGCGCAATCCTGCATCAACGCCGGTCGCTCGCTATTTCCCTAATAACACACGCTGTTCGTTTTTGTTTCTACACGTTTTTTTTTACTCACAAAGATTGTCAAGAAAGCGTGTTTGTCGTGTTCATGTCAAATTAAACTGACCACAAAACACAGATTTACTCTTTATTTCGTTTTCCTCATCCAACCCCCATAAATCCCTGTGTGTCCTCCTGCAGCACTCCCGAAGGACAACAGGCAAGATAAGACAAAAAAGTCTGACGTGTTGAGTAAAAACTGCTATTTTTAGCACATTTTTAGGGCCGACGTGTTGCTACCAGACGTACAGTGTGAGCACACGACTCGTGAGATCTGCTCTGCGAGGAAGTCGTACAGTTTGAGCTGAAGCTGAACACTGCGAGTGAAAAAGTCGCACAGTGTACGCCCAGCTTTAGGCCCATTTCTAAGCTACCTTTCATCAGCAAAGTACTTGAGAAGGTGGTTGAAACCCAACTCAGATCCTGGTTTTCTAAGTCAAAGATCTCTGACCCCTTCTAATCTGGCTTTCTGAAGCAGCACTCAACTGAGACTGCTCTAGTAAGGGTGCATAATGACCTCCTGATGGCTGCTGATGCAGGGAAATGCTCTGTCATGGTCCTGCTTGACCTCATTGCAGCTTTTGACACTGTAGACCACAACGTTCTACTAAACAGGTTAAATGCCCTGGCTGGGATTTCAGGTTCTGCTCTAGACTGGCTCTCTTCCTATCTCACTAACAGAACATTCACAGTGAAGTCAGAAACCTTCTCCTCAGACACTGCCTCTCTAACATGCGGGGTCCCACAAGGTTCAGTTCTAGGGCCTCTACTATTCGCATTCTATATTCTTCCCCTAGCTGGCATCATTCAGTCTTTCCCAGACATCTCCTACCACATCTACGCTGATGATATTCAGCTCTACATGTCCTTTATGCCACACCAGTTGGACAGGCTGGCCACCCTTGTACTCTGCCTGACCCAGATCAGTAACTGGCTGTCCAGCAACTTTCTTGTCCTCAATGCTAACAAGACAGAGACCCTGATCGCTGCACCCCCGGAACTTCAGCCAAAAACCAAGCAAGAAATTGCCTCTTTTTGCCCATCAGCCAAGGCCAACATTAGAAACCTAGGAGTTATTTTTGATCCAGCTCTAAGTTTAGACTCACACGTCAAAACCATCTCCCGCTCTTGTTTCTTTCAACTGAGAAACATTTCAAAAGTCAGTAAACTGGTTTCTACTGCAGATCTGGAAAAAAACATCCATGCCTTTGTGTCATCACGCTTATACTATTGTAACGCTCTTTTTACTGGTCTCAGCAAAACCTCCCTCTCACGCCTTCAAGCCATCCAAAATGCAGCAGCCAGACTCCTAACCAAATCCAGCAGACGAGCTCACATCACTCCAGTTTTACAGTCCCTCCACTGGCTCCCGGTAGAATATAGAATACAGTTTAAAGTTTTAGTCCTGACCTATAGAGCTCTTAAACAACCAGGCTCCAAGCTACCTAACTGAGCTTTTATCCCCACACACCACCTCTCGGAAACTCAGATCCGCATCTGAAAACCTCCTGGCTGTTCCTCGAACCAGACTGAAAACCAAAGGGGACAGGGCCTTTCAGTCTATTGCCCCCAGGCTTTGGAACAGTCTACCTTCAAATCTCCGTCTCTCTAAATGTTTCAAAAAGATGGCTTTGTTCGGGTTCAAGCTTCACTTTGTTTATACTCATGATTTTATTTTCTACATTTATCACTGCTATTGTTTTTCTGAAGTTTTTATTGGTTAGAGGTATTTGCCCTGATCTTTATCATGTTGTAGAGCGCTTTGTGATTTATATCTGTGAAAGGCGCTATATAAATAAACTTTTACTTACTTACTTACTTACTTACTTACACACACACACACACACACACACACACACACACACACACACACACACACACACACACACACAGACACACACACACCTGTGTCCATGCTGTCCAGGTCCAGGTGGTGAAGAACACACGATGAATCAGTCCCAGATCCTGAAGTGGTAGCAGGTTTTCTTTAGCCGTGTTTAGCTAACAGCTGCAATAGAAACAAAGCAGGAGAGCTGATTAAGATGCTGCTTCAGAACAACGCAGGAGATTAAAGATCCAACGCTTTGGTTCTGATCAGCTGAGGACAGATCCAGTCTGGAAAAGAGGACCTTTGCTCACCAGAGTTCACGGAGTAGAGCTAACCGCTTTTTCCTCCAGAGTCACATTCAGATTCGGGGCTTTTCCGTCGGAGAGTGTGAGCAGGATGGATGAGAGAGCGAGCAGCGATCCTGCATCATGACCAACTCAGATGAGCGAGTCTGATAGAGGGAACCTCTTCAATCTGATGAAAGCAGCAAAACGAGCGCGTTTCTCAGAGAGGCCAAAGGAACAGCAGCAGATCCAGAGGGCAGGAAGTCTAGAGAAAAGCTTTTCTCACCCACAACCTGATTCTGGAGCTCCGATTGTCACGAAGACCGCAGAATATCTTCTCCGGTTCTGGAAAGAACTCCACCAAGTTGTTGAGGAGGAGAAGAAAGTTTCCACAGCCTGGTGAGAAGATTTCTGCAGCAGCAGCAGTTAGTCGCTTTAACTGATCAACTCTCCCAGAGACTGAAGTGAAGACATTTTTACTGCAGAGCCTCAAATATTCTCCTCACACACCAGAACAACAAGCTAGCTCTGCTAGCAGCTTCCGGTTTCTGCTTTTTCCGGTGGTCGGTGATCAGCGTGCACTACCGCCACCTGCTGGAGCAGAATAAAACACACCTGTGTGTTCACACAACTTGATAACTTTAGGCAAAAAAATTTTTTTTTCTATATTTTACAATATTTTAAACTTTTATCCAGTTTCTTTAACAGAGCTGAAAAGCAGGTCAAGACTGTTTCTTCATAATCATCATTATTCAAATCTGACCATGTCTCTTCACCTAAAACCAAAGTGAACAAGTTTTGTTGTTTGTTTTGTTTTTCATGTAACCAGCCCTGAGAAGTAAACATTTCTTTTGCTAATTTGAGAATTGTTTCATGCAATGATTGATGAGGCCACTCACTGTGAGTCCTGATAGGCAAGAGTAAATAAAAGAATAATGCTCAATATAATACATGTTACACATATAACACATTAAATATAATATGATAAAATAGTATACAGCAATAAAATACTCAAAATACAAATATAATAGTTCCCATTTATCAACATAAGAACAAGACCGGATACTTTAGAGACACTAGAAAATCAGCATATTCAACCGTGCATTTGTCTTTTAAAAGAAGAGCCATTTCATCTGGAAATTGACTGATCTTAATTTCCTTATCAAATAAATTAATTCCACACAGAATTGTATTGTTAGGAATTTGGAGCTTAAGTATTTGAGTGGCCAGAATAAATAATCTGGGTGAGACTTTGCAGCCTGGATGAATTCCTCAGGACATTCTAATGATAGGCGTTATTCCTGGTACAGAGAAATTGATTTCAGTATAAAACATTTTTACTATATTGTAGAATCTTCAGCCAAACCCCATTATCATCAGAGTTTATGTAATAAAGTTAGGTTTTAATGAATCAAATGCTTTGTAAAGGTCAAGAAATTATACCAAACTACCATTGTCTATAATCCAACATGCCCAATCCATATCATCATCAGGGGTCAGATTAAAATCTCCACCTGTGATCACCCAATCAGTTACATAAGTAACCTTCCATACACCATACATATATATATATATACATATATATATATATATATATATATATATATGTATATATATATATATACACATATGTATGTATATACACACACACACACACACACACACACACACACACACACACACACACACACACACACACACACACACACACACACACACACATATATACACCTATATTTGCAGAACATGCAAGCTACCTTTAATCTTGTGTAATTTGACTTTGTTTTATCTTCATGCATTGTAGCTTGTGTTGTAAAGACTAGAGTTGTAGATCTGTTTGGTCTAATCACCTTTGCATGTCTATTTTCTGAAGATGAGCTGCACGAATGGAGTGCATATGAAGAAGTCACAGGATTGCAAGCAATTTCCGCCTCAAGTGCTACAAACTCAACAAAATCCTTGAAAGAAGGGAAAGTTTTACCTTCCATGAGAGCAACTGTGACGTGACGATTCCAACGTGTTGCAACCCATTCAGGAATCTTTTGCAGTAACCTTTGGTTTTCCTCACAGTCGCTTAGTATCTCCAAGCCCTTTACATGTGGTGTTGCTTGAAGACAGGTTGTTGTGAGAAAATCAGAAAATGTCCTTAAACCTTCTGCATCCTTTGGGTGGATTTTAGGCCACTTAGACAGTTTGTCTCTAAATGCCTTTTGGACAACAAATGGCTGACCATAGCGCTGATCAAGTCTTCTCCATGCATCCTCATATGCCTCTTCATCACTACGATAAAATGTTCCTTCAAGACACTTAAATGCAGGACCAGTAAAGTATCTTTTTAATAAGTGCAGTTTTTCAGCAGGAGGTATACTTTTAGAGTCCACCAGTGAGCTGAAGGAAGACTTCCATTCAATGTAGGTTATGGGATCTCCACTGAATACGACGGGCACTGGTACTGGGATTCTGTTTACAGCTATGCTATCTTGGATAGCTTTAGCCAGCAGAGAAATGTCTGTTGGAGGTATTGGAGTGGCAATTTGAGAGTGTGTGGTTGTCGTGGAGAGTTGATGAGGGGAATGGATGCATTTTGTTGCACAGGTGGAATAAATGAACCTGTAGAGAGCACTGGGGCTGGTTGTGCAAAATTATTGTTGAGAAAAGAAGTCCCATAGTTCTGTAACATTAGCTGACTTTCCATATCACCGTTCAATTCATTGTCATAAGTCTCAAATTTTGCACGTGCAGCTTGCCTTTCCTTTTCTGCTTGTAAATGCTCTAGTTTAGACTTTTGAACATCCAGTTCCCGCCTGTGTTTCCCTTCCATTTCTCTTATTTTCTCCCTTTGTTTGATTTCCTCTTGTGTAATTTTATACTGAGCCTCCTTAGCAGCTAATTCTGCAGCTGCATCGATTCTTCTGGTTGTGATGCTTGCATCAGAGTGGCAACACGACTGTGACACAGTACCAAACATGGACCTTGCATGTTCATAAGTTAAGAGCTGATGGAGGCGCTGCCTTTCTCTATCTGCATCATATTCATCTCTGGCTGCTAATCGCTCAGAAATTATTTTCATAACATCCTTTGTCACAGATTCACAAGAATCCATTTTGCGCCGTATAACCTGTGATGGTACATTACGCTGTCTTAGTTCACTGTATGCTTTTGTCATGTTATTTACTGTCTTTTCAATATCGTCAGCCATTTCTGCTAACTGCACATCTGATATATCACTTTTCAGGTCTTCCCTGTAGACTCTGGCCTTTCCAGTGTTTATAAAGAGTTAACAGTTTTTTCTCTCTTTAGTTTGTTCATCCATTTGATAAAGGATCATTTCTACTGTTGGCACACTAAGCCGTTCTGATCTTCTTAGTAACTTTTCATCCATTTGAAATGGAAATTCCTTTAGTTGTTCCTTTCCTTTAACTGTTTATCCTCTATATTTTCCACTTTGAGAAAATTTGCTTGTTGCCAGATCGTTGATGCAGCGTTCTACTTTGTGTCGTTACCGTGTCATTCCTTCAGAGCGCAGGCAGCTTGTTGTAGCATATGGGGTGATGCTTCGTGCTTCCCAGTTGTCAGTTTTCCCGGAAGTAAGCTCTTACTGTAGCACCCCCCCCCCCCCCCCCCCGAATGATTGTGGACTTCAGGAAAGTAACAGCCCCATCTCTCCCCCTCGTCCTGTCGGACATCCCCGTCACCACTGTGGACTCCTTCCGCTTCCTCGGAACCACCATCACACATGACCTTAGGTGGGAGCCATCCATCAGCTCCCTGATCAAAAAGGCCCAGCAGAGGATGTACTTCCTGCGGCAGTTGAAAAAGGCCAAGCTGCCGACCCAGATGACGGTGCAGTTTTACACGGCCATCACTGAGTCCATCCTCACCTCCTCCATCACTGTGTGGTACGCTGGAGCCACGGTGAGGGACAAACATAGACTGCAGCACATTGTGCGCTCTGCTGAGAAGGTGATTGGCTGCAGCCTCCCATCTCTCCAGGACCTGTACGTCTCCAGGACTCGGGGGCGTGCAGGTCGGATAGCAGCTGACCCTTCGCACCCGGGTCACAGACTTTTTGAGCCGCTTCCCTCAGGCAGGAGGTTACGGTCCATCAGGACCAGAACCTCTCGCCATAAGAACAGCTTCTTTCCATCTGCCGTTAGACTTGTGAACAGCTTATAAACACACAACCATGCTCGTCTTCTGTACTTGACATAACGTCACGTTATCGGCCATGTTACCATTACCTGCCTTTTTTTGTAGCAAAGTTTTATGCTACTTTATTATATTTTATTCTACTTTATTCTATTTTTAATTATATTATTCATGTTATATGTAGCACGTTAGTACTGAAGCAAGTTCCTAGTTTGTGAATTGTTTGTTCACTGACAATGGCAATAAACCTTTTCTGATTCTGATTCTGAATGAAGGATAACACTTTACTGATGAAGTTTTGGATTTAATGACGATGACCCTCAATTTCACCGTAAGAGCTGGAGATGTGTACAAAAGAAACCATGTAAATAGATCCACACTCTTACATCAATACAACTAATACCAGTTTACAACATACACCATAAATTACAATTTCCTTAGCTTTATAAGACAAATCAATGCATTTGGATCTAAGCATTTTATAATAAAAATATTTAAAACATAAGTACATTAAGATAATAAATTTACCTTGTGCCTCTATCAAGGGGGCTGCTAATAGCAAAATCCATATTAGATCTCTCCGTCAAAGCTGCTTTGGCCGTTTAATCAATGTTAAGCTAGCTTACATTAACTGTTAGAACAGGAAATAGACCCTTCAAAATAAAAGCATTTCATTCAAACAGGAAGTTGATTAAAACAGATTATAAATAAAGGCAAGTTGTGCCAAATTAAAATACAAGCAAAAGAAGATGTCATTTTAGGGTTAGTTACAAAAACCATCTAAATGCCCGCCTTGGTAGTTCTAGTGTTAAACACAAATGGAGTCTGTTAAAAATGGGACACGTCTATATTTGTGGGACGTGTGAAAAGAGATGCAACACATTGCAGGACATCAGGTAACCCTATGGGTACCAATGTGGAAGCAACTGAAGAGATCCGTGGCTATATTTATGCAACAAGTACGAATCACAGATAAAAGACAAACACTTCTACATTTAACATTAGAGTATACATGCATTTTAAATTATTTTTACTGTAATTTAAATATTACAGACATTACTTTGACTTTACAAATTCATTTTTCTAAGCAGAGTCTCTGAAAAGCAGTGATAAATATCTGCTGGAGCTAAGACCCTTTATAGAATATATTTGTGTGATTAACACACACACACACACACACACACACACACACACACACACACACACACACACACACACACGTACAATTGTGAAATTAATTCCCATAAGAAAACTGCAGTCATTTTTGAACTGTGATTATTTCTCAGACCATAACCATACCACACAAATTTACAATCATTGCCACCCCACCCATGGCTTTACAACACCACCATACAATTGCACGGCCACTCTTGATTTCAGCAGTTCACGAATTATCAAGCAGGGAGAAAGAAGGCAGCAGCATGTACCCAAAAAGGTCAGTTTCTTTTTTGTGCTCCCATTAACTTCAGTCAGGGACATTTCACAGGTATGACATACCTTATTTACTAATTAACTGCAAATCTGAACGCTACTTTAGTTTTAAAGTTTCTGGATGATTTACACAGCGGGCCTCTCAGTACTAGGGACGTGAATCTCCTCCTCTGAGGCCGATTCGACTCGTATCTCGATACGCTGCCAGCGATATGATGCGTACCGATTCATGATTTATGAATGATTTGATAACCATTTTTGGTTTGATACAATTCATGATGTAATTTGAAACAATTCAACACATTAAGAATTTACAAGCCCACATCTGGGTTTTAAACGTCATGTTTTTCCCTCTGTGTGAAGGATGTACTTGATCCTCTATTTTTTTGGATTAATCAATAAATTCAACATGAAAACAAATGCACTTCACCGGTGATGCTTAAAGAGCAAGTCACCCCCTACAAGAAACTTAAATCACTCCCACTTCACGTTTGACAAATGCAACAAATGCTGTTGCCTGGCAGACCGAGAGGGCGGAGCCACACACACACACACACAGGCTCACAACGACATTGTGACATCATAATGAACCAGTTTACATCATAGCATACCTCTTAGCCAATAGCGGTGGCAGATTTAAATTCAAATGCAGTGCAGAGTTTTTACCTGACGATGGCACAACACTGACCGTTTTAGGCAGAATATTTAAATTTTAACTAAGATGCACTGAAGTGCCAAATTATTGACTAAGCGTGTCTACAGCACAATTAGACACTCGTTTATTTAGTTTATCAGCAAAAAAAAGTTGATTTGGGGGTGACTTGCTCTTTAATAATTCTCTGATTCTGTTGGTTTATTTTTATGAGCAGAGTGACTGTCTAAATCTCATTTCATTGCCCTTATTTCAACAGAGTATTGTAGCAAAAACAAAGACAAAAAAAAAAATATATATATACATACAATTATTAGGAATTATTGTGAAAGACCATAAATATCTGAACATAATTTTAAATATTGTAATGAGCCATAAGGAGCTACTGTGAGAGCTGTTGTCGCCTAATGTTACTGTTCCTTTCAGAGCAAAGTGAATGCTAGAGATGCAGGGGGATGTGAGCTTATTACTGGACTTCTCTGTGCAGAAAAACTCCAGATAGAATTACATTTTCCCCCTAACAGTGGTTCGAATGTTACAATAATATGGATTATCCTAAATTACCTCACAAAGCTTCTGGTGTGCAGATCCGTAAGAATGCTCAGAAAAATACGCTGCTGCACAAACCAGAGGCCGTGTGACAGAGAAGTTTATTTTGGCAAGTACAGGAAGCATTTACGTCAGTTAATATTGTCCCTATAGTGTCTCGCTGCAGTTGCGCAGTGCGCACCACCTAGCTTCTGCTAAGTGATTGTTGCAACATACTATGTTTTGCAGTGCTTACGAAGCCGGTGGAAAAGGCTGGGAATGATTAGTGACACAAACAATTGTGCACTGCCTGTCAATGGAAACAGGGATTTAAACATTTACAGCCTGGGGTCCACAAAGCGTAACTTGCAGGGTAGAAAGAAGTGGGCCGGATTCAACTCTGATCTACAGTAAAGTACAACTACAAGCGGTACCAGATTCACATCTAGGATGTATACAGTACAAGAGTCCCTTTTGGGTAAACCTGTAGTTGAACGAGTTCTTTTGGCCCTTACACACTAGCATCAGCTCCACTCCACCTGGACCGGGTTGGGAGTGTTCTTATTTAGGTAGCATTGAATTTTCCCGTGCGCAACCGGACCTCTTTTCAGCCCTCTTCTCAAGGAGGTCTGCCTGGAACCGAACAGGGTCGACACACCCACTGCTGACTGATTGGCTGACTCAAAAGCATGCCTGTCATTAGGGGGAGCCTCTGATTGGCGGATAGAATCAGCCTGCAGGGGCAATTCATTGACTACGTTTACGTTTACCTCTAACTTGCATAACCCGATTTAAATGCGGACGTTGGGGTAGCGTCAGGACGTGTGGACTACGTCCAGACGGAATATGCGTCATTTCCGGTTCTTCTCGTTCCGGTATCCGTGAAAACAACAACATTTTTCCCAGTTCGGAAGAGATAGCGACCGCGTTTGTTTACGCTTTAGTTTCCTCGTCACTCAAAGTGTGGTGCTGTGCCACGACTCACCATGTTGCTACCAACTTGTTGTTTACTTCCGGAGTTCTGGCGCATACAAGACGTCTCGCTACTCAAGAGACCAAGATTCCTTGCGAACAGAGCATGTGCAGAACACACGTTTTGATGGGGATATCCCGGTATGCGTTTACACGACCAAACATTCGGGTTAGAAAAGGGTTACCCCAGGTGTAGTAACCGGGTTTTTAAAAACCCGGTTATGAGCATATCCGGGTTTCTGGCGGTGTTTACACGGACCTGCGGAACCGGGTTATTGTGAATATTCGGGTTTTAAAAGGGTTACTGGCTGTATGTAAACGCACTGACTATCATTCTGGATGCTGTGGAGTTAACAAGACTCTGACTGAAGCAGTTTTTCTCTGTCCCTCACTGCTGTGAGGAGGCACACACACACACACACACACACACACACACACACACACACACACACACACACACACACACACACACACACACACACACACACACACACACACACACACACACACACACTGCGGCCAGACAGCAAAGCAAGATGCAGTATCAGAGTCAGAGAGTCTCCAAAAGCATGACTGCTCAGGCTGCTTTTATTTATTAATGGAAACACTGCCTACTTCTCTGCGCTCTTTTGCCCCACCCACTTGCTCGGAGATGCGCTCACAACATCACAGACTGCCCATGTGCTCAATCACGTCCACATTACTAAGGCAGTGTGGAAAGAAGGCGGCCGGGCTGGGGCGGAGCCGATGCTTGTGTGTAAGTAGCATTAGTGTCGTCTGTGGACTCTCATTTGTCTGGTTGGATATGTCTTTGTTTTTATCTTAGTCAAGAGTTTCCTGGCAAAATGTGTCTTTCCTTTGTGGACTTTCAAATACCTGTTTAAACTTGTTTTATGGTTATATCTTTGTTCAAAGAGCTAACAAGTAAAAAAAAAAAAAAAACTATGAGACAGAAGTGACGCCAACATTGGCAGTGCCAGTGTTAGCTGTAACTTGTCAGCAGAAAAAAGGTAAAAACAAAAAATGTATTACTCTGTGTTCAGAAAAGAACCAAACAATGAAACTTCTGTTCTGTGTGGAGGCTCATGTGTCTTTTTAAATTTTGCTTAAGAGTAAATCTTTGTCCACAGAGCTCACAGACAAAAGGTTTCTGTCCTGTGTGGACGCTCATGTGTCTGCTTAAATTTTGCTTATGAGTAAATCTTTGCCCACAGAGCTCACAGACAAAAGGTTTATGTCCTGTGTGGACTTTCGTGTGAACATTTAAATTTGCCTTTTGATTAAACCTTTGACCACAGAATTCACACGCAAATGGGTTCTGTCCTGTGTGGATGCTCATGTGACAGTTTAAAGTTGCCTTTCGAGTAAATTGTTGTGCACACAGTTCACAGGCAAAAGGTTTCTGTCCTGAGTGGACGCTCATGTGTCTGTTGAAATTTTGCTTATGAGTAAATCTTTGTCCACAGAGCTCACAGGCAAAAGGTTTCTGTCCTGTGTGGACTCTCATGTGAACGTTTAAATGTGACTTTTGACTAAATCTTTGTCCACAGAGCTCACAGATAAAAGGTTTCTGTCCTGTGTGGACTCTCATGTGCGAGTTTAAATGTGCCTTTTCATTAAATCTTTGTCCACAGAGTTCACATGTAAAACATTTCTGTCCTGTGTGGACTCTCATGTGTGTGTTTAAATGTGGTTTTTGGCTAAAATGTCGTCCACAAAGTTCACAGGTAAAAGGTTTCTGTCCTGTGTGGACCCTCACATGTCGGTTTAGATTTGTTTTATAATTAAATACTTTTGCACAGTGATCACAACTAAATGATTTTAGTTCTTTTTGGACCTTTGTGCATGAGTCTACATGCTGCTTCACTCTAACACTTTTCTTATTAACCAAACAGCCTGAAGACCTTGTTGCTGAATGACCTTTCACTCTCACATGTTTCTGGAGAGACGACTTGTGGAGAAATTGTTTACCACACTCAGGGCATCTGAAGAACTTGTTGACAGAACTAACACCTGGCTCATTCCAGTCAACGTCTTCAAGTCTAGTTTCAGACCCAGAATCTGGATTCACATCCTCCTCCTCCTTTTCATAATCTACAATAAATTCAGCATCTGAAGAATCAGATGTCTGTTCATGAGGGTTCAGAACTGGGTTCCTGCTAGTTTCTTCTCCTTCACCAGTTTCTAGTGTCGTCTGGTCAGCTGAGCTACTGGTTGGCCCATCTATGTTTTCTATTTGCTGCTGATGAAGCTGTGAGACCAGAGGTTTCTCCTCATCATTCCCACTCTTTATAGAAACTGCATTGAATGGAAACCTGGCACCATCAGTCTCCTCCTTCAAATGAAGCTGCTCCCCCTCTAGACTCGTCCAGAGTTCCTCCTGTTCCTCCTTTAAGTGAAGACTTTGTGGGTTCTGATGGTCCACACCAACACTCTGCTCTTCAAGAGCTTCTTCTTTAACCAGAACCACCTGATGAATATCTGTAGCAAACACAGAAACACATAATGTGAATTACTGATGGGTGTAACTTTACATTCACACAGGTTGGTGAGATCAGAACTGACTCGGCCTCTAGATCTAACACATGGTTAATCCCTTTGATCTGGGACACACAGGGATGGGTATCTTTGCCATTTGAATCGATGCAGTACCCGATGTGTCCTAGGTCTCCCCTCGGGTCTCCTTCTGGTTGGATGTACACAGAAAACCTCCCCAGGGAGGTGTCCAGGAGGCATCCTAACTAGATGTCCAAGCCACCTCAACTGGCTCCTCTCGATGTGAAGGAGCAGCGGATTGACTTCGAATCCCTCCTGGATGACCAAGCTTCTCACCCTATTTCTATGGGAAAGCCCAGCCACCCTGCGGAGAAAACTAATTTTGGTCGCTTGTATCAGCGATCTTGTTCTTTCGATCACTACCCAAACGCTTGTGACCATAAGTGAGGGTAGAAATGTAGATCGACCAGGAAATTGAAAGCTTTGCCTTCTGGCTCAGCTCTCTCTTCACCTCGACAGATCTGTACAATGCCCGCATCATCATGCAGACGCAGCACCAATCCGCATGTCAATCTCGCACTCTGTTGTAACATTTTGTAAGCGGTCATTGATCTAGCATTAACAAATATGCCATTTAAATTTGTAGCGACTGGCATTTTCCCAAATTATATGAGTGATCATTGTGCAGAGGTGGACATCAACTTCGAAACCAACCGGCCAGCCGGGGCCGGTGACTCTGAATATTTACCGGCCCCACTGGTCAGCTGCCAAAACGAGTCAAAATAACAACTGAACCGTTTTAAATGTAATAAACCTTTATTTTGTACACATTCACAAACATAATAACGTATTCAAGTTTGAATTTGTTTGTTCCCTCAACAAAACTCGATTTTGTCGTTGCATACTTCCGGCAAACAACGCAGTACATCACCAACTCCGCTTTGCTGTACTCGAGCCTTTGGCCGTGTTCGAGATAAGCCAGTTCTGCGCAGATTAGACCAGCGGTGATCGGCGAGCAGTGCATGCCGGTTAGATTTGTGTCCGACTTGCCGCCGACGTGCTCTGACGTCATGTATACGTAGGCAACGATAACCTCGTGAGATCAAGGCGGCCGCAGATTTTGGAGCAAGGCGCTGCAGTTGCTCTCCCTCGGCTGCAAAACCTAGATGATGACGGGAAACACCTGGCTCTCACCTGATTGGTTCATATTTTGATCCAAACATCCGGTGGTAGAACATGAAATGTTAGTTGGTCACATGTATTCTGTAAGTCATGTTATGTTGATGATGACAACTATATAGGCCATGAAGAGAAATGTGTTTTGTGTTCTTTTGTCACGTTTCCTATGAGCACTCTAAACCTACAGCTGCTAACCTTTACTTATTATTACAGTCATGTCTTCATATACAATATATGATATCCACAAGCACGTGAGGATGTGTTTCAGCTGCTAACAGGCACCAGAATTAAAATTGAAAATTGAACAAGTGTGAACGCTAACGCGATATCTCCATCCATCATCACCCCCGAGCTACACATGCAGGAAATTGTGTCCGACTTAAACGCCGGCTTTCAGCCACTCCCCCTGCTGCTTCCGTCTGTTCTCGTCTGTTTTCCAGGCGAGGCACTGCTCAACTCGAACACGGCCATTCTGTGCGCCTCCCGTTTTCTTTAAACCGCCAAGAATCATTAATATAGTATATATCATTATTGATAGTAGTTGTGAATTTAATTATTTTAATGGACAGAAGCCAAAACAAGAAATGTATAAATTTAGATTATTACAATAAAAACAATTATTAATGATAGAAAATCTTTATAGGGACATTGTTTTGAAAACTCTTGCCTGATTCTGAAGACAACACAAGAGTGTCCCCACCTGCTGATACCAGAGAATTACCTGCGACCAGGAAAAAGCTGATATCAGTAAATAATTAAATTAGGGCAATGAGTTCAATTGGGTGGGATGCTTGTGATTGTGTAAGATTAATGAGCACAATACAGAATCATTTTCTCATGGTGGAGTACTTTTATACCACAGGTGTTTCTCTGCAGCATCACACACACACACACACACACACACACACACACACACACACACACACACACACACACACACACACACACACACGCACACGCACGCACACACACACACACACAGACCAGTACCTGTGTCCATGCTGTCCAGGTCCAGGTGGTGAAGAACACACGATGAATCAGTCCCAGATCCTGAAGTGGTAGCAGGTTTTCTTTAGCCGTGTTTAGCTAACAGCTGCAATAGAAACAAAGCAGGAGAGCTGATTAAGATGCTGCTTCAGAACAACGCAGGAGATTAAAGATCCAACGCTTTGGTTCTGATCAGCTGAGGACAGATCCAGTCTGGAAAAGAGGACCTTTGCTCACCAGAGTTCACGGAGTAGAGCTAACCGCTTTTTCCTCCAGAGTCACATTCAGATTCGGGGCTTTTCCGTCGGAGAGTGTGAGCAGGATGGATCAGAGAGCGAGCAGCGATCCTGCATCATGACCAACTCAGATGAGCGAGTCTGATAGAGGGAACCTCTTCAATCTGATGAAAGCAGCAAAACGAGCGCGTTTCTCAGAGAGGCCAAAGGAACAGCAGCAGATCCAGAGGGCAGGAAGTCTAGAGAAAAGCTTTTCTCACCCACAACCTGATTCTGGAGCTCCGATTGTCACGAAGACCGCAGAATATCTTCTCTGGTTCTGGAAAGAACTCCACCAAGTTGTTGAGGAGGAGAAGAAAGTTTCCACAGCCTGGTGAGAAGATTTCTGCAGCAGCAGCAGTTAGTCGCTTTAGCTGATCAACTCTCCCAGAGACTGAAGTGAAGACATTTTTACTGCAGAGCCTCAAATATTCTCCTCATACACCAGAACAACAAGCTAGCTCTGCTAGCAGCTTCCGGTTTCTGCTTTTTCGGGTGGTCGGTGCCCATTGAGCAGCGTAAAGTTACACTACCGCCACCTGCTGGTCTGAAAACTAAAACAGCCGTTTACTTTATTTTTCTATCTTTTATAATATATTTTTTAATCCAGTTTCTTTAAATGCCTTAAAAACCAAGTCAAGACTTTTTTCTTCATGGTCCTCATACCCAACTCTGACCAGCCCACCAGCTATTGAAGTAAAAGCAATGACGCTTATTTGACAATTATTTCACTTGTGCAAGCTGACTTTTGCGTGACCTTTATCACCCTCTCCTCATTCTGCTCTTTCCACCAATTTCCCTCTTACCTCTATATTTCTTCTTTCCTTACATTTTTAATCAAAATTTTTTATTTTTTCTCATTTAAAACATATTCTTTAGTCTTTAGTAGGGCCCGACCCCTATACACTATCGGCTTTCGGCCAAAAAGACGGCCGATATGGCCGATGTTGCGCTACCTATCCAGCAGATGGCGCCAGCTTTATGAACTCATGTGTGGCTCCACTCCTCGGGGGGGGGTGGAGCCTCCGTCACAGCACACATACAGCGGGGCAGCAGAAGCAATTCAGTCAAGCAGAGACGACGGTGATAAGGAAGTAGGAGGAAAGTCTTCAGTTTTAAGCATATTTGTTGTGTCAGTGGTAAGTTGAACGGTAAAATAAGCAATGACAAAAGCATTGAAAATAGAAAAAATGCTGGAAGTGCTGCAGGGGTGTAAGAAATTTTATCTGGTGCTCTCACTGGTGCTCTTCAGCCAAGGGATCCACATAAATGTTGGCAAAAGGAGATCTGAGGCACTCAGGAGATACAAAAATAAAAAGCCTTTATTAGTACATGGCTCAAATAGTTAAAAACATAAATGCCGATGCGTTTCAGCCCACAGGGCCTTCGTCAGCCCAATGCTGAGCACAGCAACCCATCACCTACCATCTTTCCTAATTTTGGCGATGAATCCATATTCCTTTGTCCATTCGAGATTAAATGTAGTCTTTCATTTTGGCATTTTGATGTTTGCCAGTGCCAAATGCAGAACTACAGGTGGCTGGGTGTGCTCCCTTTTGGTTGGCCTGTGTCTGACTGAGATCAACCACCTCAATATGGCTGCTTTTACTTTCGCTGTCAACCAATAGAATTGATTTCACACCGGCTTCATCTATTAATGTCATAAAAGCATCTTTCAGAATTTATAATTGCATTGTAAATTAAAATAGGCTATATTTTATCACAACTGCCCATTTTATTCATTTTATAATTTTTTTCATATAAGATGGAGAAAATAGTCAAAAGGAGGACAAATGGGTGTCCGTCTCAAGGGTGCGCTGGTAGGCGGGCACTCTTTTTAAAGCCGAACCTAATTCCAACACCCCCGCCTCCAAAAATACAAAAATGCTACATTTATTACAGGTACCATTATCACTAAAGGAGGCAGGGGAGTAACTAAACATCTGACACAGAGAGCAAGAGATAGGAGATGGAGAAGCAGAGACAGAAGTAGCCATAGCCGTGCTGAGGCTAAGCTAACTGGACAAGCAAACTGTTCAACACAAAATGAACTGTGTGCGAACTCAAACGGTTCCCTAAAAGCTAGGTGGAACAACAGAAAATGTGTGTTTTAGCGTGCTCATGTGCTACAATAACTCAGAGGTATCCTAGTATACAGATAAATGTAATCAACTTTAGCGAGCCACAAACACCGAACATCTACACGTAGTGCAACACTGAAAACAGGAAATGATGCAAAAACGCCTTACCGCAGATACTGCCACCTACAGCATATGATTTACTGATTCGAAGCTTTGGTAAATGTGCACACCACAGTCTGAACACATTTCACTGGCTCACAGTGTTATAATCTAGGTGCAATGGAGGAAAATAGAGGGACCAGCCAAGACAGAAACTATTGTAAAAGTTAGAAACGGTCCAAAGTTTGTGATCAAGAGTTAAACTATGGGTAGATTGGCTATTGCTAAGCTAGCGCGTAGCATGCACACAAATCACGATCAAGTGGAGTTCATACAAAAATGTGATGATTGTGAATAAAAAAAACCACAACACTGCAGAAGTGGAAGGAAAATTCCCATCATCCCGTTTATTTGTGGATCTCTGCAGCTGCAGCGCCGGTGTGGGACAGTTACGTTAAAAACCGCCAACATTTTTCATCAACTTGGCATCATTTAATTCATTTTCAACAACATTTCAATTGATATTTCCAGAGATTAACGGTAAAAACGACACATTGTAACAAAGGAAAATATATTTGACCGTCATCTGCATACAAAAGAAAGTAACCACGTTTATGAAATAGTGACACGAGCGGTGATAGGGACAGGGAGAAAATAAGGGGACCTAGAACTGCCAGAATAGAACAATGTAGAGCTGTAATTTGTCCTGAAACGCCCAGAGTCTATGGATCATCTCCTTCACGGTTAAAGCACCAACATGACCGTTTTCCTGCTCTGTGCAGGTAGAGGACAGGAGCCACCAGACTTGCAGGGATATTCAGACAGTTTACGCTGGCCATCAGGTCACAAATACTTTCTTTCAAAACTGATGCAATTGCTGTAAAGCAAAAGAGGAGGGCTACAAACCACAGCCAGAGAACACCGGAGATGGCTGCAGTGGTGTAGAATGCTCTCAGCTTTGATCGGTCAACCTTTGCCCTGCCACCTTCCCCTGGTCCCGGACGGAGAAGAACACGGAGAACAGCGAAGCAACAGAAGGTTATAACAACAACAGAGACAGCCATGAAGGAAATCAGTAAGATACCAGGTGTAGTTGTGAAAGAGTTCTGCAGGCTCATCAGTACGAAGCAGAGCAGCCAAACACAACCCATGCTGATGTTTCTGATCCGGACTCCTCGCTGGTTTCTGAACATCAGGTAGGTGACGGGGTGGACAACAGCCAGGTACCGCTCCACACAGGTCAGGACATGGATCATCATTTGTCCAAACAAAATGAAGGAACAGGAGGATATTCCTACCAACATCATAGCTATGCTACCATTGCAGGAGCCGTAAAGGTAGACGAGAAAACCAAGAGCCCAAACCAGCTCAATCAGAGACAGGCTGTAAGTGAAGACTTCAGAGTGGCTGAAGGAGCGCTGCTGACGCCATCGACGATGACCCAGGTAGAGGACGGAGACGCAGAGAGGAAGGACCAGGACGATTTTAATCATGAGCACACAAGAGGAAATGAGAATTGTGTTCTTTGACCTTGAGCAATAGTCGTTCAGAAGGTACTCACTGGTGGAGTTTGTGGAATTAACCGACATTATGGGTGTGTAAGGTCTACAACTGAGGAGACAAAAGAATAGGAAAAGCACCCATTTACATGTTCAAAACACACATGATCTATTAACAAACTAGTTCAACTTGTACAGATTGGTGGGGCTACCTTTCCACTTCCTACATGTCTCTAGTCTAGACACTAGAATGTGCATGGAGGTAAAGTCAGCATGTAGTTGGTGTTTCTGTACCTCAAGTTTTTCTCCACCTGTGAAATGATATCCCTACAGAATTCTGCTTCTTGACCAACCTGCAGACCACTCGTCCTTTACGGAGCCTTTTATGCTGGGTTTACAGGCTGTGACTAGCTGAACCCCATGGCTGAAGGTCTAGCTACCTGCCTCCAATGAAGTCCATGTTTCTTCAGTCTGTGCAAAGTTTTTGGCGTTGTGAATCTTTACCCAGAAGTAACTGGCCATGGGAGACCGTAGCAGGAGCCAAAAACCGGATCCATCACTGCACCTGGGTGGGAGACACACACTTTATGTACAAACCCTCTGCACCATCACCATCTTGGCTGTGCCATTCATCTCATTAGTGTAAACACAAAAATGGAGCTAATAGCAGGACTGTGAGAGCAGGGAGGGCGATTTAGATCATTGTCCCTCAGAAAAATCACAATCAGGTTTATTGTCATGTAGGTAAACAAGTATCACCAAGTTCAAAAGGCTTAACTGGAAAACAGAAACATGGAGAACTGAACATCTATGGGAGGGGGGCATAGAAGAAGCCATCTTTGGTACGTGTGTTCTGAATTGTTAATTAAATTCCATCATCTGGTTCACACTGAGTGCAGAAAATAACCAAGTATTGGAATAGAAGAAGCTAGATGAAACTGCGTCTGGGCATGTAGGGATGGGTACCTTTGACATTTGAATTGATCCGGTACTAATTCCCGGTACCAAGGAATCGATACTGGTACTTAATGGTACCAATTTTTGATACTTTTGAGTGTTTAATATTTTAATTCTCTTTTATAATTAAATATATATTTTTCTCAATATATAACCATATTTGATAAATATCACGATAAATAACATACAGCTGTTTGTATTTTAACATCGTCCTTGTAGTTTTATAAGCTGATAATTAAACTGAAGCAAACATCTTTACTGTGAACTAAATTTACTGTGTATCTTCATTCCTTTTGCCGTCCTTTTTCTTTGATTTTTCCTACTGGGAAGTTAGAATTTCCAAGGAGAAAGAAACACACCATTAGCTGATAACAATGGTGGCAATGGAAGCTAACATATCAAGCTAACGTTATCTTAAACAGTTTATTTAGCTGCTGGAGCAGATTAAAACTATGATGCCTCACACTTAGATCGTTGTCACTGGTTTCATCTTCACCCAGTCACCCATCGCATTTAGTAAAGTGAAGCCAAACTTTAGAGCACGTTCTTGTTCTTCTAGTCGGAAAATCGAGTTCCGAGGAGAAAGCGAACGCACCATTAGTGAAACGGAAGCTAACATATCAAGCTAACGTTATCTTAAACATTTTATTTACCTACCGGAGCAGATTAAGATGAGGATGTCTCACTTAGATCGTTGTCGCTGGTTTCATCATCACCCAGTTACCCATCACATTTAGTGAAGTGGACCCAAGCTTTAGCGTGCGTTCTTTCTACCATGCTGCTCTGTTTACAACTGGCTCACAGCGACCGACGACATAACGCTCTTGCGC